GAAAGAAAGAAAGAAAGAAAGAAAGAAAGAAAGAAAGAAAGAAAGAAAGAAAGAAAAGCCATTTCTCTGTCCAGTCTGCTGTGACTCCCAACAATAGAGTTGCCCCCCAACTCTGGGGAGCAAAGCCACCACTGGCAAAGGGCATCTGGAAGCCCAGCGCAGCCTGTAGACCCCTGGGGTTAGGGGGAGCTGGTGCAAGTGGGGCGCAGAAAGGAGGCTCCCTGCCCAGGAGAGCAAAGCCCCACGGATTCTTCTTCTTCTTCTTCTTCCCAGAAGTCAGACAAGGGCACTTCCGTTGGTGGGAGACAATCAGGAAGAACGGGGGGGGGGGGGGGGCAGGAGAGCAGCCTTCCAGCCTTTTTGAGGGGCTGCCCCGAAGAAGAACGGGGTCCCCTTATTCTCCAAAGCCCCAGAAGAGGCAGGAGAAGAAGCAACGGGTGGAAACTCATCCAGGAGAGAAGCAACCGGGAACTAAGGAGGAATTTCCTGAACAGGGAGGACAACTAAGCAGTGGAACTTCTAGCTTGCTGTTAGAAGCTGTCGGGTTTTCATCCCTGGAGGCTTTTAAGAAGAGGCTGGACAGCTGTTTGTCCGGAATAGGACAAGGCCTTCTGCTTGAGCGGGGGGTGGGACTAGAGGACCTCCCAGGTCCCTTCCAACTCTGTTACTCTATCAAATTCTGTGGATTCGGGTCCCTCGGGTCTTCCAATGGTGCCGCCCTCACAACTGTGACTTCCTTCCACCCCCGTCAGCCTTAAAGTCTCCTCTAGAGAGCTGGGCCCTCACGTCCTGTCTAGGAAGTAGGATCACTGGAACTTGGTCCCTGGGGCTCAAATCACAACTCTGGGTTGGGTTGATTTCATTTGGCTTATTTTCTTGGCTGACCCTTCCTTCCTTCCTTCCTTCCTTTCCTTTCTTTCTCTCTCTCTTTCTTTCCTTTCTCTCTTTCTTTTCTTTCTTTCTTTTTCTCTTTCTTTCCTTTCTTTTTCTTTCTTTCCTTCCTTCCTTCCTTTCCTTTCTTTCTCTCTCTCTTTCCTTTCTTTCCTTCCTTCCTTTCCTTTCTTTCTCTTTCTTTTTCTTTCTTTCCTTTCTTTCCTTCCTTCCTTCCTTTCTTTCCTTTCTTTCTTTCTTTCTTTCCTCTCTTTCCTTCCTTCCTTCCTTTCCTTTCTTTCTCTCTCTCTTTCCTTTCTTTCTTTCCTTTCTTTCCTTCCTTCCTTCCTTCCTTCCTTTCTTTCTTTTTCTTTCTTTCTTTCCTCTCTTTCCTTCCTTCCTTCCTTCCTTTCTTTCTTTCTTTCTTTCTTTCTTTCTTTCTTTGTTTCTTTGTTTCTTTGTTTCTTTCTTTCCTCTTTCTTTCCTTCCTTCCTTCCTTTCTTTCTTTCTCTCTTTCCTTTCTTTTTTCCTTCCTTCCTTCCTTCTTCCCCTCCCTTCCTTCCCCTCTTCTTTCCAGACTTCCGTCTTTACAACCTTCCTTCCTTCCTTTCTTTCTTTCTCTCTTTCCTTTCTTTTTTTTCTTCCTTCCTTCCTTCCTTCCTTCCTTCCTTCCTTCCTTCCTTCCCCTCTTCTTTCCAGACTTCCTTCTTTACAACCTTCCTTCCTTCCTTCCTTCCTTCCTTCCTTCCTTCCTTCCTTCCTTCCTTCCTTCCTTCCTTTCCTTCCTTCCTTCCCTTCTTTCCAGCCTTCCTTCCCTTCCCCTCCCTCCCTCCCATCCAGTCATTCAACATAGGAACTAACCATCAGGCACCTAACATTTCCAGAGACATAAATCACTCATGTAAGAGCCGCTAAAGGAGGGGGGGTCACGATGCCCCCACCCATCTGCCACAAGGCTTGTTCAAGTCTCTTTCGATTTGCTGTAAAACTGTCACCACACCCAAACGGCCCCCGCCTGGAAACGCTTACAAGCTGATTTCACGCCCAAGGCGTGCCGGCACAATTCACAGGGAAAGAAAAAGGGGACCAAAGCTTTTGCACGCGGTGGTTGTGCCTTTTTTTCTCATTGCGGTGCAATCAGGGAAGCTTTCTGCAAACCGATGGCGTGAATTGGGCTGCGGTCGAGCTGCACAGCCTTTTGTCGCTTTGAGAAAAGGGGGGGGGGGGGGGGGGGGGGGGGGCGGCTCACCAGGGAAAGCTGGATGGGGCCGCCGTCCAAAATCCAGGAGAGCCGCTTTCAAGCTGGGCTGGACAGGCTGGGCGAGAACTGACCAGCCAGCTCAGCCTAAAGGCAGGTCATCCAACCTCGGCAACTTTTAAGTCTTGTGGACTTCAACTCCCAGAATCCCCCAGCCAATGTAGCTCAGGGATCAGCTTGGCTCTTCAGACAAGGAGTCTCCAAACTCAGCAACTTTAAGACTTGTGGACTTCAACTCCCCTCAACTTGGCTGGGGGATTCTGGGAGTTGAAATCCACAAGTCTTAAAGTTGCCAAAGTTGGACTGCCGGTCTAACCATTTGCGGCTCCCGCCTTGAACAGAGAGCAGGAAATGAATCAGGTGCCGCCCCACATTGAGGAAGACTGCCAGACCTATTGTAACTCCAAATGGTCACTAAAGAAATGCCTGCAATTCGAGGACTACTCGTACATGCAGCCTTAGACCACCCACCCACCCGCCGTCTCTGCCAGTGTCATGTTTCCAAGAGGTGAAATCCATTTAAAAAGGAAAGAGCCAAGTCCGTCTTCCAAAACAATTTCTTTTATTTAGGTAAAGCCTCAAATTGGCCAAGTCTGTTGTCATTCCGGATCTGACCCAACCCGGAATTACACCACGTAATATTGGAAGTTAGAAACAGCCCCCAAAATTCCCATTCCCCAAATAGAAGTAAATCAACGTTTGCCTGGTGTCCTCAATCTCCACCTCCAGGTCTCAGCAGGGCCGGCTTTTGTTCCCACGGGAAGAAGAACCACCTAGCCTCAACAACTCTCTCTCGCTCTACTCCTCCCTCCTTAGGAATGTGGCAAACCCCAAACCCTCCCCCTCCCCATAAACAGCAAAGGGAAAGAAAGGAATTTATAATAAGGCTAAATAAAATGGGTACCAGTAGGTCAATTTGGGGCCTGACCGCCAGGCTCTTCCCAGCCTCTCCTAATTTGGCGTCTCCCGCAGGTCGCTGAGCCCGAGAGCCCCGTGGGGGGAGCCGCCACCGCCGCCATGCAGAGCATCAAATGTGTGGTGGTGGGCGACGGGGCAGTGGGCAAGACCTGCCTGCTCATCTGCTACACCACCAACGCCTTCCCCAACGAGTACATCCCCACCGTCTTCGACAACTACAGCGCCCAGAACACGGTGGACGGCCGGACGGTCAACCTGAACCTGTGGGACACGGCCGGCCAGGAGGAGTACGACCGCCTGCGCACCCTCTCCTACCCGCAGACCAACGTCTTCATCATCTGCTTCTCCATCGCCAGCCCGCCCTCCTACGAGAACGTCAAGCACAAGTGGTACCCGGAGGTCTGCCACCACTGCCCCGACGTGCCCATCCTCCTGGTGGGCACCAAGAAGGACCTGCGCAGCAACCCGGAGGCCCTGAAGAAGCTGAAGGAGCAGAGCCAGCTGCCCGTCAGCCCCCAGCAGGGCGCCAGCCTTGCCAAGCAGATCCACGCCATCAGGTACCTGGAGTGCTCGGCCCTCAACCAGGAGGGCATCAAGGAGGTCTTCACCGAAGCCGTCCGGGCCGTCCTCAACCCGGCCCCGCCCAAGCCCAAGAAGGCCTGCCGGCTGCTTTGAAGGGCGGGCGGGGGCGGGCTGCCCTCTGCGTATGCCCAGGCGTCCTCTCGCTCTTGCTCTCTCCCTGCTTGCCCAAACTCTGCTTCCTAGGAGGGATCAAGGACCGGCTCGCTCAGCCCCCAGGGCCCTCTCCCTGCACGGGGGAGCCAAGGCCGGGGGGACCGGCCCGCCGCTTACGACCAGACTTCCCACAGCTAAGAAGTGGGGTTGCTAAATGAGCCACACCTGATTATTTGGGACCGGGGGGGCTTTTTTGCCACGGTTGTTAACCAACAGCACTTAGACTAACAACCCCTCATTACAACCCCTTTACAAGACTCTCTGGTGGGTTTTACAGCCAGCGCTATCTAACCAACGGAGTTGGAAAGGACCTTAGAGGTCTTCCAGTCCAACCCAACAATCTGGCTCCTCCTCTTATTGATCTGAGAGAGATGTAAGGCTGAGTCAAACCTTAAGCCGGTCAAGATTGAACTCCTGGCGATGGGCAGTCTCGGTCTGCCTTCTCCCCACTGGGCCTCCAGGGTGAAGTGAATCCCCGCCGTTAGTCAACGTCAGGCAGTTGTTAAGCGAATCTGGCATCCCCATTGACTTTGCTTGTTAGAAGCCGGCTGAGAAAGTCACGCAGGGTGATCGCGTGGCCCCGGGATGCCACCATTGCCTTCCACCCATGGGGATTTGGATCGGGTGGGCCTGGGGATGCTGGGATGGTCATAAGAATGGGGACTGGTCGTAAGTCGCTTTTTGCAGTGCTGCTGCCACTTTGGTGGTCGCTAAATGAAGGGTGGTAGGTAGAAGAATTGCCGGTTCCCCCCAGCTCTGCAAACCTTCCGGTCTCCTGGACGACGGTGCCAAGGAGATGCGCCCAGAGGGGCTTTTCCAAGAGGCAGCTGGATTTCCGGTGTTTTTTTTTCTTCTTCCTTGAAGACGTTTCGCTGCTTCTCATCCGAGAAGCTTCATCGGAGCCGTAGCAAAACGCCTTCGAGGAAGAAAAAAAGGACGTCCGGCTGCCTCTTGGAAAAGCCCCCCTGGGACCCCCGGAGAAGCTCCCGAGAGGAAGAAGACGGGCCCATCCCAGCCGCCGTTCCCTGCTCTTCCCGGGCGGAGGTGCCAGGCGGAGATATCCACTCCTGCTCCTGGGACCGCTTGGCAGGAAATGCGCCCCAGGAGGGCGAGGAGGGAGCGGAACCTGCCGTGCCCCCCCACCGGCCCTCAGCACGGCCCGGCCAAAGGGTCCCTCGGACGGCTGAGGGAGGCCGGGGAGCCCTGCAGAATGGAAACACGGCAGAGTTTGGGCAGCTGCCAGGCGAGGGGCCCCCTTTGCCGCCTCCACATCCTGTTTACCAAGGAAGCGCTCCGTTTTCAGGGGCCCCTGCCTTTTGCGGGCTCCCCGCTCCCACGGCCCTCCTCCTCCGCCGCCGCCGGAAGGTTTTGCAGCCTGGGCCCTTCCTCGGCTGCCTCCCCCTGCCAGAGGGAGTGGAGCATCCCCTGAGCATGTCAAGAGAGAGAGAGAGAGGGCTCCCCTCCACACAGCCACCGAAGGCAGCCGGCTCCTGCACCCGCTTCGAGGGGAAGAACGGAGGAGGGGATACCAGAAGACCCCAGACCCGGACGGTTCCCTCCCCCCCACCCCTCAGTTCCAAGCTCTCGGGCTCTGGGAGGCCCTTGGCGAGGCCCGGCCTTTGGTCGGCTGGGCTCCACCTTCCTAGGGACTAGAAACTTGCTGGAATGAAGTCAGGATACTCAGGATTCTCCATGCTCAGGTAGACTTTCAGACGTCCGTGCTGGATCATCCCTCCGGGGGTTTTATCTTCATCAGGAAGAGCTGTGGGGGTCTCGCTGCCCGAACCCCCCTGCCCTCATTTCCTCCTGCTCCCGTCCAGCTCACCGTGATCAGGAGCAGTGGCCTCCGCCGCCTTTGGCCTGGAAGACTCGGGCAGGGTGGGGGGCTCATCCTGTGTTGATTTCCCTGCACCAGGGTCCTTTTGTCACCCTCCCCCCACCCCCAATAAAAATGGCAACTTCCCCCCGTGTCTTTCAGGCTCCTTCCCAGGTGGATGTGGGGTCTGCCTTATCCAGGGCTCTGGGACAGCTTCATGCGAGGGAACCGTTCTCTAGAGCGGGGGTCTCCCACCGTGGCCCCTTTAAGCCTGGAGGACTTCAACTCCC